AACGAGATCATCAGCTCTCTTTTAACTTTTTAGTTTGATATATGATCTCATGTAGCACAAATTCTAGTTGTTTTTAATAAAAGCTCAGAGTCAGATACTGGGATTAATGCTGAAGATCAGAGAAGCAAAGTGGCTAGCCCCTAGATAGTTCTCACCTCTACCAATGCTCAGATCACAGGGGTGATCCTGTCCTCAGACTTTGCATTCTCAGACTTCCTAGACTGCACTGTTCCTCAGACTGCACTGCTCTTCAGACTGCATCTCTCTCTTGTCTCCTCCTGCTTTATATTCTTCTCTCAGCCCAGCCATATCACTCCTGTTTCCAACTCCTTAGTGCTGGGATTAAAGGCATGTCACTCCAAGTCCTAGATCACCTTTGTGAGAGCTGTTTCTCTTTTAGACTGGATCAATTTCATGCAACCCAGGTGGCCTTAAACTCACAGAGATCCACCCGCCTCTGTCTCCTGAGTGCTGGGATTAAAGGCGTTCACCAGCAATGCCCAGAGGTATTCACACTCTTGTATAGCCCACTCTCACAATGATCAGGCCCCACACGTGTAACTAACAGGATGGGTGGAAATGAGAGAGTGCAACCTTCTTCCAAGTCCTTGAAGGTATCCACTTCCTCTCTCTTTGATCTGCTAGTCTGGAGGAAGCCGGTGTCTATGAGAGAATACCCAAACAGCAGGTGTGAAGCAAGGGGAACATTCTGGAGTGGGCTTGTATATCCAGGATAGTGAAGCCATAACACTGAGGGGGGTCCTGGGTCAAGGGACTTTCTGTGCTCAAACAGAGACATTCCAGTGTACACTGGGTTATATTGGTCATTTTAACTGGGGTAGAGAGGAATGGGTGTTGAAGCTACCTCTCTAGTTAGCTGCCATTCATCATGGTTCAGGAGTTCATTGTCCATTGTTACAATAAAACAATGATGATACGTAATTGAAAAAGAAAATAAATTTGTTTATTATAGTTCTGAAGACTGGGAAGTTCTAGGTTGAAGGGCTGCACCTGGAGAGGTCCTTCTTGCTAGCCAGGACTCTATAGAGTCAAGAGATGACAGAATATCATATAGCAAGAGAGAACCAAGACAGTCAAACTTGTTTTATGTTTCTGGGAATAGAACCCTGGCTTTATACATGATGTAACACTTGGTTACACCCTAATCTTACAATAAATCCACTCTCATGACTACTGACCTACTTCCTCAATAACCCAATAATCCATTAATTCATGAATTGATTAACCATTCATGAGATCAGCATCCTCATGACCCCATCACCCTTCCAAAAGTTCCATCTCCAATTGTCATTAATGTATAACTTTATTTATCTATTTATTTATTTATTTATTTTTTTCGAGACAGGGTTTCTCTGTGGCTTTGGAGGCTGTCCTGGAACTAGCTCTGTAGACCAGGCTGGTCTCGAACTCCCAGAGATCCGCCTGCCTCTGCCTCCCGAGTGCTGGGATTAAAAGCGTGTGCCACCAACGCCCGGCTAATGTATAACTTTAAAGACGAGACTTTTAACGCATGAAATTTGGGGGACAAATACTCAAGACATTTCACACAGGATAGGGAGTAAGACCTGCCTTCCATCTCTCCTCATCAAGGAGCCAACCTGCTTCAATTTAGGTTGAGGGAGGAGAGAAAAATCCTTCTTAGAAATGGAGATTGTGTTGTACTGGCACATACCTTTAATCCCAGCACGCAGGAGGCAGAGGCAGGTAGATCTCTGTGAGTTTGAGGCCAGCCTGGTCTACAGAGTGAGTCCAGGATATCCAAAAACAAAAAAGAAAGAAAGAGACAAAGACTCAGCCGGGCGTTGGTGGCTCATGCCTTTAATCCCAGCACTCGGGAGGCAGAGGCAGGCAGATCTCTGGGAGTTCGAGGCCAGCCTGGTCTACAGAGTGAGTTCCAGGACAGCCTCCAAAACAATACAGAAAACCCCTGTCTCGAAAAACCAAAAGAGAGAGAGAGAGAGAGAGAGAGAGAGAGAGAGAGAGAAAGAGAGAGAGAGAGAAAGACTCATAGACTCATAAGAAAAGCTGCAAGTCAACCCTTCTTCATTCCTCTCTCCCTTCCTTCTTCTCTCCCACCTCAGCAGAAAACTGAGGCATTCAGAAGCTGCAGGCTTCATGCCAAGTGTGGTGTGGTTCATGCTGCAATATCATGCTTGGGAGACAAGAAGATTGCTGTGAGTCCAAGGCCAGCCTGGGCTACAGAGTGAGATCTTGTCTCATAAAAAAAATGAAATGAAATCCTGGGATTTAGTGAGGTTGTTACCTCTTGTCCATGCATCTTGTTCTTGTGGCTTGATTCTCAAGAGTCTGTATTGGTTATATGGTCAAAAGGTCAAGGTCATAAAGACTGCCCATTTCAACTTTTTGTTAAAAAATTATCCCTTGAGGTGAGTGAAACAGTGTTGCTGGTAACCTCCATCCTTTGATTATTTTGTGATTGGATTGTGCTTTCATTCTGAAAGTTCCTTCCCGGTCATCCCTTTGTATTTATGGGTTCTGCAGTAGTGCACTCAAGTAATTATGGGAAACATAACTGGAAACATTTGGGGAAAAATATATGGGTGCTGAACATGTACAGACTTTTTTCTTATCATTGTTCCCAAATAGCATAGCAACTATTTATATAGATTTCACTGTGTCACAGGTATGAGTAATCTAAAAATGACAACTGAGCTAGTGATGTAGACCTGTAATCCATGTATTTGTGTGGTTAGGCAAAAGAATGGTCAGTTCAAAGCCAACCTAGGTAACTTAGTGAGATCTTGCCTCAGAGAAAGAAAGGAAGTTAAAAAAAAGAGAGGGCAAAACTGGACATGGTAGCACATATCTTTAATCCCAGAACCTGGAAGGCAGAGGTAGATAGATTTATGAGTTCAAAGCCAGCCTGGGCCTCTATAGCTAGGGCTATACAGTGAGACTCTGTCTTAGAGAGAGACACACACACAGAGACACAGAGAGATTTTATTTACGTGTGGGTGTACCTGCATGAGTTTAGTTCATCATATGTGTGCAAGTGTTCATGGAGGGCAGAAGAGGTCAGATCCCCTGGGATTGGAGTTATAGCATTGTGAGGTTTCAGATGTGGGTGCTGGAAACTGGATCCTACACTCTCTGTAAGAGCTGAGTCATCTCTCCTGCCTCTTGAGTCTTTTTTTTTTTTTTTTTTTTTTTTGAGACAGGGTTTCTCTGTGTAGCCTTGGCTGGCCTGGAACTCACTCTGTAGACAAGGCTGGTCTTGAACTCACAGAGATCTTAAAGGCGTGCGCCACCACCACCCGTTCATCCTCTTGATTCTTAAAGGAAAAGCACATCCCACCACATGACAGCAGCAATATTTCCATCTGGTGATCCCCACCTAACCCTGTGGCTTTTCCTGAGCAGCACTGACTGTAGAGATCACACTGACTCCTGGAATGAAGAGACTATCCTCCAGGGCCAGCTATGTCCCTGATACCCTTTGTGTGCTGGGTTTGCTTACCCAACTTGAGCTACAGACTGCCAGCCTGCTGTCTTAGCTACAGCTCTCAACACTGACTTTCACTGCATTTATTTTGAGGGTTCCACAGGCTGTGACAACTGATTCTGACTTCTGTTTATCATATTGATATACAGTTCCCTTTGTAAACAAATCACACAAAGTAAGTTGTGTTCATTGTAGCATTTAAGAAAACTCAAGGGGAGGCCTGGAGAGGATGGTCAGCAGTAAGTGCTGCTCTTGCAGAGGACCTGAGTCGACCCCCAGCACCCTCACTGTCACCTGTAACTCCAGTTCCAGGGGACCTGGTGCCTCTTCTCACATCCTCAGGCACTGTATGCATTTGGTGCACATATATACATTCAGGCATATACATACACATAAAATAAAGGGTTTTTTTGAGACAAGGTTTCCCTGTGTAAGAGCCCTGGATGTCCTGGAACTTGCTTTGTAGACCAGGCTGGCCTCAAACTCATCCATCTGCCTCTGCCTCCTAAGTGCTGGGATTAAAGGTGTGTGTCACCAACGCCGGGCCCCTTGAATTTTTTTTAAATAAAAAATATATTTAGCCAGGCAGTTTGCTGTGGAATAATCCTTCTGTACACTGTGTAAATTACTCTGTGATTGGTTTAATAAGGAAGCTGACTGGCCAATAGCTAGACAGGATAAGGTTAGACAGGAGAACCAGAGTAAGGACTCTGGGAAGAAGGGCAGAGTCAGAGGAGTCGCCAGTGAGACACAAAGAGGAAACAGGAGGTGAAACAGAGCTAAGTTCCAAGACAGCCAGGACTGTTACACAGAGAAAGCCTGCCTTGAAAAACCATTAGGAACAAAACAAAAAAACCAAAAACAAGGGCCAGAGAGATGACTCAGCGGTTAAGAGCACTGGCTGCTCTTCCGGAGGTTCTGAGTTCAACTCTCAGCAACCATATGATGGCTCACAACCATCTATGAGATCTGGTGCCCTCTTTTGGCCTGCAGGCATACGTGCAGGCAAAACACTGTATAGTTAATAAATGAATCTTAAAAAAAAAAAACCTCAAGGGGAAAAATAATCACAGTTTGTCCTAGTTACTTTTCCATTGCTGCAATGAGACCCATGATTAAGGCAGCTTTTAGAAGAGTTCCAGAAGGCTGGAGTCCATGACCATCATGGCAGCAGTTTTAAGGCAGAGCGTTTGCTTAGCCACGAGTGAAGTCCTGGCCTCCACCCCCAGAGCCATAGTAGGAAGGGAAGTGAAAGGCACACATAATTTGTATACAATTTTGGGGGTATGCAGACCCTCTTTAATTTGTCCTCCGAATGTCCAGGGCTTATTGTTCGACGCCCGCATTTACCTGGGTGAATTCTGAGGTACAGAGTGGGGAAAGGGCTGTTCAAGGGAACCGAACCAGTTAGCTGCAGAGATGTGGATACAGATTTTTCGTCAGGGATTTGGAGAACTCCGATCTGGCTGTGTTTGAAAGGAAGGCTGGCGGGGCGAAGGCGTGGCTTTCTTTAGCCCCGCCACCTTCCACTGGGCTGGGGCGTGGCCTTCCTCCGACCTGCTCGGTCCAACATGGCTCCGCGGTTGTGCATCATCTCTGCATCGGCACGGCGGCTGCTGGGGAAGCCGGGACCCCGCGCTGGGGACCTCGCGGCTGCGGCTGCTGTGCGGTGAGAGGCCCACGGGGCCGACCGCGTGCCCGGAACAGGGACAGGGGAGGGGGCTGGGATGGAGAGCAGGCTCCTGGGTTTGGAATTCGGGGGTTAGAGGAGGAGCTGCCGGGATGTAGGCCTGAGGAGTCTGAGAAAGAATGAGGGAGGTGAAAAGATATGGGTAGGATTTTGTTTTCTTAAACAGGCTCACACTACATGCGATTAGAACTCGGAATCCTCTTGCCTCAGCCTCCTAGATATTTCTGGCGTGCATTACCATGCCTTGCTGGGCAGGTTCTTTGTCCTGTTAGGGACCTGGGTCTAGGCTGAGAATAAAAAATGAGGTGAGTGGGAGGGACAGGTTTTAAGCACTGGAGCGGGGGCGAAGGCAGAGGACAGTGGTAGAGGCCCTCAAGTCTGGCTTTTGTGATTTAGCGTGTGCTGGGGGCTTCAGGGCCAGGCAGCTCCTCCTCAGGACGTTCTAGGAGGAAGGAGAGGAGGCCCGGGGTTCAGAGGGAATTCCCAAGGTGATTCCTCACCCAGCACTGTCCAGTGAGTCAACAGGAGGGGTCAGGGTTGTTCAAGGTCAGCCTCCCAGCCATGAAGGGCTCGAGATGCACCTTGCCCTTTGCACAACCGCTGGTGGCCTCCTAGGAGAGAGGCTCAGCTCTGGCTGTGGAGGGCTTGGCTTCCCCTGACTGGCTCGGGGCTGCCCCTCCCTCCTCCTCCTGTGCTACCCCGGCTCTCTGCCCCTGGCACCCTGAGCACTTCTGACCCCGTGCTAACCTGTCCTTCCCTAGTCGTTCCCCTGTTTCCACAGCCCCACACCCTCACTGGTTTGAGAACAGTGAGGTTCAAAGAGCATTTTCTAAAGAAGTGAGAACACCTGTCCTCACACCTGCGGACAGGAACCCGCGCTCCTGCCCCAGCCCAGAGATGAGTCTCCTTAGATCACTGTGAACTAGGACTTTCGGGGTTGGACATGTGCCCTCCACCTCCAAGCTTGATAGAGGGAGAAGCTGACACTGGGAAACAGCCTTTTGTGGAGGGAGGAAACAGGACGTGTCTGACAGGATTGTTCTGTGTTGCTAGGGAAAGACTCCAGGAGCTCGGGTATGCCATGCTAGTGCTCTTCCTACCAGTAAACCATAGTGTCTCCAGACCTCATTGGATTGTTGAGAATCGAAGAAGCCATGCTTGGGTTACCAATTGCCCAGGCCTACACCTCAAGCATTTTCTGTCATTGTGAGAGTTGAAAGGGTATCCAGGAAAATATTACATTAAAAAGTTAGTTTGAGCCAGACAGTGGTGGCACACGCCTTTAATTCCAGCAGTGGGGTGGCAGAGGCAGGTGGACCTCTGAGTTGGAGGCCAGCCTGGCTTACATATCCAGCTCCAGGACAGTTAGGACTACATAGAGAGACCATGTCACACAAAACAAACAAACAAAAAGTTATTTGGGGGGAGTTAGATGACTGCACTGGTTGCTGGTTCTGAGTACCTGTGTTGATTCACAGCCTACCCACATGACCACTTCCAGTAGTCTGCAACTCCACTTCCGGGGATCTGACGCCCTCTTCTGGCCTTCACCGGTATGCAAGTGGTGCATACACACACACACACACACACACCCCACCCACAAATAACATAATTTAAAAATTATTTTATGTGCATATGCAAATGAATATTGGTATTCCAGCATGCGTGAGTGTGTGTGTGTACTATGACACATGTGGAGATCACTGTGTGGCCTCCAGGTATCTAACTCAGGTTGTCAGTCTTGGTAGCAGGTGCCTTTACATCTCACTTACTCAAGATCATCTATGTTTTTTCTTTAAAGAGATTTACTTTTATTTATGTGTGTGTAGAAGGGAGAGAGAATGTGTACATGTATGCAGGTGCCCATTGAGGACAGAGAAAGGAGTTAAGTCCCTTGGCAGGTGTGAGCTGCCCTACTGATGTGGTCCTCGGGTTCTCTACAAGAACAATGCATTCTCATAACCAACAGGTGTGTCCAGCCCACAAGATCATCCCCCCCCCCAGGGTTTCTCTGTGTAGCCCTAGCTGTCCTGGAACTTGCTCTGTAGGTCAAACTGGCCTTGAACTCACAGATATCTGCCTGCCTCTGCCTCCCGAGTGCTGGAATTAAAGGTGCTCACCACCACTGCCTGGCACAAGATCATCTTTTAAGAGACCATGTTTTCTAGATGAATAAAGATACTAACCCTGAGAAAGGAACAGTCATTTGGTGGTTGGATCTTTTACGTGGCAAACACCCAGAGGTCACAAAAGCATGAGGGAGAGTCAGAGGAAGCCTGCTTCTTCTAATTTGGCAATCCTTAATGATTCTTTGAGTGTCAGTTCCTTTCTTTGTAAAATGGGTATGATAATCCCCTCTATGCCCTGTGAAGACATTCAACACTTTCCTATGATACTTACCCTCAGTGATCGGCTTTTGTTTTTGCCCTGGCCCTATATTGAGACCCAAGACTACCCCTCCTTGCTGACTTTCAGCCTGCTCTCTATCTTTCTGGAGTCACTCTTGGGGCTTGCAGTAATACCAAAGATTTGGGGTGAAGAGACTGCATGGCAAGCACTTTACTTGATGAGCCTTCTTGCTGGCTCACTCATTGTTTAAAATTTTACTGTAAGAGGAGGGGTGGATATGATTAAGACACGTTGTACAAAATCCCCAGAGTTAATAAGTTAAAAGTAAAAGTACTGAGAGGATTAATTTGTAGCGTATAGTAGCTGCTCAATAAATAGTGATCCTGTCACTGGTAGACTGAGGCAGGGGGCTCATGTTTACGTGTTTCCCCTTGTTTCCAACACTGGGAATCGAGCATAGGACCTCATGCCTGCTAGGCAAGCACTCCACCACTGAGCTATGTCTGTAGCCCAAACTTCCGTTCTTAAGGCTGAAAACATCTTTCTCATGATAAGCAGCCACCTCAAACTGAGATGTTTCAGGACCTACAGAGAGCGGAGCTTCCCATTCTAGAAAGTTCTGAGGTTCTCGAGCTGTTGCTCTCAGAGAGGCATCAGATTGTTGACTTTCATTGGCAGTGCCAACGAACATGACTCCACAGTAGCTTTGCCCAAGGAGATGGAAATGTTCTCATCCAGGTGAAAGAATTTTTGAGCTGTTGTGTCAAGAGCATTGCCCTAGGTCACATGGGGAATGGAAGGGTGATAGTCTGCGGCTTGCTGTATTGCTGTGGTAAAAGACCACGCTGTATGAAGCTAATGAAAGATTTGAGGTGAAACTGAGAGAGATTCTCATGGGAAAGGGCTAGACCGGTCCAGCTTGGGCAGGTCTCACTTATTGACTCTTCTCAGGACTAGGGTTACATTTAGGGCCTTGTGAATGCTAGGCAAGTGTCCCACCACAATGCCCTATCCCTCTCCCTTTTAACATTGATCTGAGCCCTAGTCTTGCTGAGTGCTCAAGCTGGCCTTGAACTCCATTTGTAGCCCAGGCCTAAGGTAAACTTGGACTCATCCTGTCTCAGACCTCTGAGTATTGGGGATCACAGGTGGCTGCTACCATTCCTAGCCATATAGGTCCTTGTTATTTGTTTGGTTAGGAATTTTTTTTTAATTTTTATTTTATTTATTTATTGTGTATACAGTCTTCTGCCAGCAGAGGGCACCAGATCTCATTCAAGGTGGTTGTGAGCCACCATGTGGTTGCTGGGAATTGAACTCAGGACCTCTGGAAGAACAGTCAGTGCTTTTAACCACTGAGCCATCTCTCCAGCCCATGGTTAGGGATTTTTTAAGATTTAAAAAAATTATTTGCTAAAGCCGGCCATTGGTGGTGCACGCCTTTAATCCCAGCACTCGGGAGGCAAAGGCAGGTGGATCTCTGAGTTTGAGACCAGCCTGGTCTATAAGAGCTAGTTCCAGAACAGCCTCCAAAGCCATAGAGAAACCCTGTCTCGAAAACAAACAAACAAAAATTATTTGCTTTACTTATGCGTTTGTTTGCATGAGTTTTGGGAGCCATGCAGGAGTCTACAAAGGCCAGCTCTCCTGAAACTGGGTTGGAGGCGCTTGTGAGATGCAAACACATTCAGGTCCTCTGCAATAGCAGTATTGTTATTAATGACAAGCCATCTCTCCAGCCCTTGTTTTGTGTTTTGGATACAGGGTCTAACTCTGTAATCCTAGCTGGCCTGGAGCTCTCTATAGACCTCCCAAAGTCTATCAGCCTCTGTCTCTTGAGTGTTAGGATTAAAGGTGTATGCCGCCAAGCCCAGCCTGTTTTTATCATTGTGTGTGTATATGTGCATATCTGAGTGAGGGTTTATGCATGTGAGTGTAGGCCTGCTGGGTCTGAGAGGCTCATCAGGTTCCCTGGAGCTGGAGGTGGCTGTGAGCCACCAGGCACAGTTGCTGGGAACACAACTCAGGTCCTCTGCAAGAGCAGTAAGTGCTCTTAACCACTGAACCATCTTTCTAGATCCATTAGTATTTGTTTGATTGGGGCAGGGGAGAGACAGGGTTTCTCTATGTATCCCCTGGCTGTCCTGTAACTTGCCTTGTAGACCAGGCTGGCCTTCAGTTCACAAAATGTTGGATAAAAGATGTTTACCACTAGGCCTGAGTCTTTATATTATTTTTTTGAGATAAGGTCTCATATAGCCCAGACTTATTATGTGCCTGAGGATGACCTTGAAATATAGGCATGCTTGACCAAATCGGGCCTGTGTAGGCTTTTAAAAACTCAGATTGAGATTGGAGAGATGGTGTAGTAGTTAACAGTACTTGTGTAATCATGAGACAGGTTTGAATTCCAGCATCCATGTGACAAGCTGGGTGTGGTCTCATATGCCTATAGCTGTAGTACTATAGGGGACAGAGACAGGAAAACCAGTGGGACTTGCTGGCTGCCAGCCTAAGGAGGAAAAAGCACAAGCTCCCAGTGCAAGGAGAGACCCTGATCGAAGGAATAGAGGAGGAACCAGATGCCCTTTGCTTGTGTGTATAGATGTGCATATACCAGGAACACTCAC